CATTAAGGGGAAGATGTTATATATTTTGTAACGACTAAAAGGGATTTTGAAATTGAGAAAGGGGGACAGGGGAAGGAGAGTTTGGCACTTGGAAGAAAAGAGAATAAAAACGTGAAAACTTAGATAATTAAATTAAAGTGTATATAGCTTTATTGGACCATATTACAGATACCATAAACAATAAAACAAAAGGTTCGTGTTTTCTACCAAGTAAAAAGAGTCAAAATAAAAATTAATAAATTAAGCAATTTTAAAATTTTAAAGTCTTTCTCGAAATGTTGCATAACCTTATAGTGAACATTACTAATTATTTAAATATTTTCTTAATAAATTACATTAATGACACTAAAATTTCCTTTTGTAATGTAAAATGCCAAAACTGAGGCGTGTTTCCTAAGGTTTGTCCTAAAGCAGTGTCATCTCCACATTTTTGACAGTGAATTAATTGTGACATCATAAAGAAAATTTACTAAAAGTGTTAACGAGCTATGAAATTGAGATTTTAGCATATTTTAGTGTCTCCATTGTAATTATCAATAAATCAGTTAAGGTTGGTGCATTTATAAAGAAAATTAACTCAAACATAAAATAAAGGCCAGTATGTAAAGCTACAAAGCAGTACAGAGCTAATGTAATAACAACAATCAAATGACTCTCAAGTTTAGGGGGCATTGAGCTTAATTTCATTTATTTCTGCTAATGCTCCATCGTGACTTGAAATTTAGTGATGCATGCAATAATAAGGAACATTATTCATAATAGTCATCAAATGCACTGATTATTATTGAATAATTCCACGAAATAAAAGAATCTAAGGCATAAATAATAACAGACTCATGTGTGAACAATTTAATCATCATAACGTAACTTATCGTGAGAATATTTCTTAGTTTGCTCAAATAAATTCATATTTAAAGTGAACATAACTTGCCAACATTCCAATAATTATTCATAATGTATAACTATTATGTTGCAAATCAGAAACACGCACTAATAATTCCATTCAAGATAGAAATGAAGAAAAACAAAAGAAGTAAGAAATATTAATAGGTCTATGAAGCTATGATGATGATGATGAGCTATGAAAACACAAAAAGAAAAGAAGGCATTAGCAGCAACACTTTTTAATCTTTTTCTTATTATTCAAACAAATTACACAGTGTTCGGTCTTTATTTATTGTTCCGGTAAATGAAATGAGTAAAACTTGAGTGAATAATTGAATGCAGAGCTCTCATAATATTGATTTTATACGCATATAAATGCTCATGAAGAAAGCATGAATAAGTCTTGCGAAAAATAAATTCACATTAAATTACATAAATCGTTTATTCGCATGAATAATTGTGATAATAATGATGCTTATTTAGTAAATAACAAGTAGTTCAATAGTTCAAATAATTCGCAACATGTTTTTATTGCAAAATGGATTTAATAATCCATAACTACTGCATCAAGTGAATAGATGTGTCAAACGGAGAGAAAAAAAAAGTATTTGAATGGTATAATTTAGAGCATTTCATTTCAAAGCTTGTACTTTTTTTTCTGCACATGAATATGTTGCTGCTGTGTACATATTGCGCTTTCTTGAAATCTGTATTATGTGGTTTTTAAGTCTTTTCTTTCTTTTGTAAAATGGCACAATATTTACAGCTGATTTTCCCAAAATGAAGTGCTCGTATTGTGTTCACATTTTCTGCTGGCACATGTCAATATTTTTACTACAATAATAATTTTTGTTGAAAGGTTGACTATTCACGGTATTGCACTTAAGCAGTCCAAGTTCCTAATATTTTTCAATTTTCGTTTGATCAATTTTTGGTTTTTTAATTTACATATTCATCGAAATTATTTGCTTGAGCAGTAACTGATTGCATTTACAGGCAATCTCTAGCATGGTTCAGGGTTGTCGAAGGAAATTATTGAGATAGGTTATCGACATTTATAAGGAGAAGTGGTTACACTTATTGTCTAAAATCCCAGGAAAATGAAAATCTATTACAAAATCCAGTTGCCATTTATTGCTAAATCATAAGCAAAAGCTATCAAAAACTTAATATTCAAAAATTGTGAATTTTTCTCTGTGACTTACTGCTTTTCTTGTTTTGCATGGATTACAGTCAAATCAGAGAATAATAATACAATTCTCGATAATGCTTATCATTTGAAATCCAGCAAAAAATAATTTGATCCCCATTTTTGTCAAAATACATAAAATTCAAAATTTATTCTCTCAACCACAAAATAATTGACTTCAAGTTGTTTTCAAGAGATTCTAACTGGCTATTTATTTTAGAAAATATCCTGGTTCGAATATTTTTAACCTTTATGAATTCACATTCTAAATGAATTGCTAATTTTTTTCTCGCAATTCTCCAAAATATTAGGCATGCAAAGTGCTTTTCTATAGTCATTTTTCAAATTTCAATAACATATCATTAGCTTTTCAATTCTCAAACGTGACATGTCACTCAATTCTTTTTTTGCCTTCATTGTTGCACCATTGAGAATTAGCATTCATAAGCATTGGAAGTGATGAAAAAAAAATTCTTTGTTAGAAAAAAAAAGCGCTCAGACCATCGATATCGTTCATTCATAGCCTCTTCAGATTTCATTCCTACAAAGCATTTATGGCTTTTCATTCAATAAGTTATTCGATTCATTCATGCTGGGCATTCAATTCCCATAATACGAACAAAATATTTACTTTTTTCTTTAAAGACACGTCTATAATCACAGTCTCGCCACAAAAAGAGTATATGGAATGCCATTAGATATTTCTCTTTTCACTAATCGAATAAATAAAATTGAATTTTTGCTTCTACACTAGTTCAAGTTATGTAGCGAAAATAAAGTTTCCCTTTAAGCCACAAAATGGCAATTGCTTCGATTTACACACATATTAAATTGACTTTTTGCATTTTTCTTCTTTCTGTATCTCATTTATACTTTGTTTTCATTATTATTTACATAATTTTTTTTATGAAAGCATGAAAATGCTTACAAGACCGAAATGCACATACGTAGCTTGAAACTAATATTCGACAAATATCTCGCATTCGCAAGTCAATGGCCCATTTGATTTTTATTTTCTCGGCTGATTAAGAAACATTAACATGGGCACAATAGCTATAACAAGCAACGAGCAACTCATTGCCTTCAACTGAGGAGGAACAAGAAAGGAAAATATGAAAAGAAAAATCATTTAAGCTCTTTTCAGTCTGATAACTTGAAATTTCTTATGTCTGCATACATTTCACTGCATTTCTGTATCTTTTAAACATGTATGCATTAAGTAATTAAGTGAATTAAGACCAACTAAACAAATCGATACATCGGTTATTTTGGTGTTAATTAAGCTGCTTTTTTCGGGTCCATCAAAAAGTAATTTTAAACACATAAACACTTAAAGTCACTGGTAAATGACGTTAATCAGGAGATTTGGGATTTCTTTTAAACTATTTAATATTCCGAGTCACTCGCAGTTGCTTCCTGTTATAGACATCATTTATGAACGAATCCCAACTTAATAATTGTGAAATTTATAAGAAAAATTGATTTTTTTATGTAAGAAGAAATAATTTTGGACCAATAATTTTTATGTCCGAAAGAAACTTTTCTTCTATCTCCATAAATTGATAAATCGGTAGACATGCTGCATAAAAGGTGATATCGTTCACGCGCATACAACAATTTATTAATTAATCATTGTTTTAAGTAAGATCGAAAGTCGTAGAAATGAAATTCGAAGGAAATGAAGCACACAAAAAATCGGCAATGATCTTTAATTTTATTTTTTTGCCGTACATATATTGTACAAAATTGCTATCGATTGTTTCATTTTTTATTACTTATTATCAATTCGTACATGAGAGAAATTTTATATTTTCATTTTGTTAATTTTAAAATGCACCTCGTGCTTTTTGGCTTTAGGCTTATTACTCACTATTGCAATGACTTTGCAAAAACAACTAAAGTTTTTCCTTTCTACGCACATTTTTATTTAAATTTTTCTTCTTTACGATTAAAGTATTGTACGGTGTAGCCGATGTATCGTATATGGGCTCAGCTGGTTGTGTTTATTATTATTATATTTCATTACGAAATAAAAGGAAAACATATTGGCACATTGTGGCCGAAAGGTATGATCTGCTTGTGCTCAATGAAGACAACAATTCAATAGACATTCCTTCTTTTTCGGCATTATTGGACATTTCGTGTTGTTCGTTTATGGTAAGAAGAAAATTGAGAAATGTTTTTTTTAATTCGCGGGACATGACTTTGGCGCATTTTATTTGCGAATGTTGATAATGATTTTTGGGGGCTTGGGAATTAATGTTAATGGAATTTCTGGAGGTTAATTTGAAACGTTCAATAGTAACAGTCTCTTATTCGATTTTATAATAATTTTTGTCTCGCAAATTTGTTTCGACATTCCTGTTTCCTTAAGATCAAACTCAAATATTCCCTAGAGCTTTATTATAAAAGCTGCAAAAGTCGCTTTGAATCCAGTCATCCAAAATGTCATCATAAACTCACTTTTATCTCAAAACATTCCCAAAAAATAAAACATGCGGTTAAGGTAATTATTGTGAAATTTCCTTCTGATCATTCTGTCCAAAAGAAAGCACTCATGTTGGTCTTTTCAAAATAAATTGATTTTTATCACCCGAAGAGCTCCTTAACATTAACTAGTGTTTATTAAATCATTTACAAAAACTTCCTTTTCTCAAAACATTTTCGTTCTGTCGTTCATAATATTTAAATTATTACTTTACATGTTCCCTTCTGTCTTTGACTGTTGTCGCCGTCAAGTCTCTTTCACTTTTAATTGCCCGTCGAATGTCACAGTTATGCTGCATATGAATATATTTTGTGTAAATATATATATTTTATAAATAATTGTCATATCGGGAATATGTTAAAGTCACAAGTCGAGGGAGAAAGACGCGATATATGTAGAGGAAAAAAAAATTATTGCAATCGCTAATAGTCAACTCACCTCGTTCGAAAAGCTGGCTTCGTTGTTGTGCTCCTTGATGTAATATTTTTTGGATATTGACTTGCACTAGTTCGTGGCAAACGAGCCGACGATGCTGAGCCCGGCCGTACAGGTGATACAGCAAAAATGCTTATAGCATATGAAAGCAATACGATTGCTAACAAGAAGGCCTTCATAGTGGGCAATTTTTTTAAAAACTCTTATTTTTGTTTCTTTTTCACTCCTTCTTACTACTTAAATGGAATTCTTTTGCTATTTTCTTATTATCTGTATTTTCTTTCTTCTTATGTCACTCTACTTTAGTCACTCACTGTATCTTATGCAATTTCTTCTTCTTCTTCAACCTCTTAATTTATATTTTTTCTTCTTTTTCTTCTCTTTTCTTATTGCACAAATATTAACAAATCAATATAAATTATTTACTTCTTCTTCTTCTTCTTCTTTAACTCATTCATTCACTTTGCTACGCAATGAAATATTTCTCTTAAAATGTCACTTGGATATAAATAAATGTAGCATTATTTCCTACATTATTATTAGAACTTGTTTTTTCTTCTCGATCTTCACATGTCTATATAGCGCTCTGCTGAGCGTAACGAACATTTTGTTACGAATTCAATTTCAAACTTGGATTGAATTTTTTTTATTATCTATTTTGCTATTTACTAAAGGAAAAGGGAGAAAAGATTTGTGGAATATTATTAGATAGATTTCTGGTCAATTCAGTTCATGCCGAATGTGTATTTTTTATTTTCATTGATACACGCGCGGTAATGTTTGGTTTGGTTTTCATTCGATTGTTTTTAATAGCATGTGTGCAGTAGGTGAAGTGAAATTATCATTGAGGGATAGTTTTACAGTTGTTTGATATGAGAAATTGAGAAACTTTTTAGATAGAAAGCTATGATATTGATTATTAGAAATTTTGTAATTATTGGCAGCATTTTACATTCTTGAGATATGTTAACAAAATCACGCAAATGTCTACAAAATATTTTCTTTTTGCTGAACTTGAATTGAATTCTTTAAATTTGCTAAAATAATTTAAAATTACAAATTTTTTTATTTTGAAAAAATCTTCGCTATTTTTCAATTTTAATTTAAAAGTATTTTTGCAAATTCTTCTTTTGAAAATTGAAAAATTTAACCTTTTGCAAGAAAAATTTTAAATTCTTTAAAAATTCACGATGCAAAGAATTTTTTTGAAAGTTAAAAATGTTTTTTTCGAGCAGAGCTTTTACAAAAATAATTTTTTAAAAAGTTTATAATTTAAAAATCAAACGAAATTTCTCCCCACATAAATCCATAAAAAAAAGAATTAAACAAGATATTAATTAAAGCTCCAAGTAAATCGAACATAATGCCTACGACAAACACAATATTTAAGTGATATTTTTTTGAAAAAAATTAATTTTAATTTCAATAGCACACCGCGCTTGTCGAATACTTTTAAAATCCTTGATTTATCTCTATATTTATTTTTTTTGCTCTTATTTTCAATATCACTGAAAGTGATTTTTATAATTTTTTTTACTCTGTTAACCAATGTGCACTGTATTTAATGTCTTTTTATTGTTGTTTTACTATAGTTAAGAAAAAAAACAGCACTCAGATGAAAGGTTGAAAAAATGGAACTTAATTTTTTTTCTTGTTCTCCTCACATTCACGAATCATGAATTACAATTCGAGATAAAATTGTTAAAAGAAATAAATTAACAATATTGGAACACTTGCTGGTCTCTTTCTTCTGATGGTGCGCGCGAAATAAAAAGCGACATGCACTTTGCATTAATGACATTAATTGCTTCTCATATTATTGGTAAATTCTTTCATAATTATTTTTTGTTTTATTCGATTACATCACATATCATATATTCAATTTAGGGCGGTATAGATGTTCGCTCGCAAAAAAAAAGATCGTTACGAGAAGCTTTTAATTTATTTTCTTCGTTTTAATCCTGTTATGACTTTATATTACACATCAATTATGGCACACACGTGCTATTAGTTTAATTTTGCAACTGTCTAATTTTCTCGACAATAGAAATATAATTAAAAAATTTCACTTCAATCCTATATATTTATATTAATCATAGAAATTATCCACAATTTTTATTACCGTTTTAATCGACTATAAAAAGATATAAGTTTGCTATTTTTTTAAAATATTTTTATATTTTATCGCATTATCTTAAAACACGACCGTTCAGTTTCGTAGTTGAAATATCACTAGACTCACTCTGTTTTTTCGTGTCTGCGAGCGAATCGTGCAAAACTTTGAAAATAAAGCAAAGCTGATCATTACAACATTATTGTCAGTGTGAGTGTTGTGAGAGATATTTTTTTTATGCTGCTTATTCACATTGCACATATCTTTTTTTTTTGTAGAGATTTCCAATTTGTATACAATTACAGCTCTATGATATACATATACAGTGTCTGCTTACTGTCTACTGTTATGAATAAGGCACAGAGAGATAGGAGAAAAATAAAAGCTCAGAGATAGAGTGAGAGACTAACTACTTTATATTACTTTCACTATCAACGAGACAAAAAGAAAAGATGTGAGACGATGAAAATGTGAATAAAAGAATTGCAATGCGTATACGTAAAGCCGATTAACGTTACATAGTTCCAACGTGAAACGGCAATTGTTGAGAGATTAAAAAAGGCAGGCCAGCGAAAAATAAAAGAGAGAGGAATTTCTCTTCAACCATGAGATTAAAATATGTTGAAAGATTTATCTCTTTGCGAATTGATAAATATGAATTTTATTATTATTAAATTTAAAATTAATGGAAGCGTGCATGGATTAATGAAAAATAAACAGTTAATTCCCATCATATGTTCTCCTTTTTCTTTCAACACAGTCAATTAAATAAATTTTCAGCTCATTAAATATTTTTTATGGACGTTGCATAAAATGAATTAAAGAAGATGAATGAGAATATATAAAAATAATTATTATTTATAATGTAAATTAGCATTATTTAAGAACAACGATTGAAAATAATTATTTTAAATTATTTGTATAATAAATAAATTAACAGAGGTATTTTATGAGTCAATCTTTTGATCAAACTAAGCCACAACCACAAGAACTTGAGAAACAATTTAATATTCGATAGAGGTGAAGCCAATATGGTCGTGCAGGAGCGTAGCGAGCAAATAATGCTGCTCAAAATAGAAACATTTGAAAAATTTGAAAGACCATTGCCAGATTAGAGATCTTAAAACATTTTAAAAAAATTGAAGTGGTCTCTAGGACCAAAAACCAAATCCACAACACTGAATCTAAGTCTGGACCGCGCCTGTCCCAGTATATTCGAAAAAAAACGATTAATTCCCCCTTGCTGATCTTAAACAACCTCAACCAACAACTCTGAAAATCAGAACAAATTTAAGTGCTGTCATTAACTTTACAAGATGCAAAACTAATTGAATTTGTTTGAACAATCCCTAAGTCAAATCATAAACATTAATGCCTGTTTAAATTGTGTAACATTTACGCTTGACACATATAAAGGCATATAATTGAGTTGTTCCTTGTTATTAGAATAATTTTTTTAATTCTTTGTTGTGTCAAAAAAAACTGTTGTGCGTGGAACTATCTCAATTGGTCAGTGGCTAAGTAGATTGCTTCTAAATTGGGACATCTGAGTTATTACATTAGCTGGTATTGTTCATTAAATGTGATTATTGTGGCTACTTTTGGATTATTCTTATTATATTTTATTTAATAAGTTTTTTAAGTGCTTTACAGTTCTATCTATAATTGAGATCTACATTAGCAAGAACGCAACTCTACGCAGTCGATAAATCATCAAACTCCTACCAACAGGAACTCAATTGTCAAAATTATGCATTCTCCTCAATCCCCGAAACGAAAAAAAAGGCAAAGAAAACCAATTCCGACGAGTGACTCGAATGAATATTAATTGATTAACATTCATTATCCATGTAAATGTATTTAACACGAGACTACATTCCTTCCGCATATTCAAAAAATCTATATTGCATACAATTTAGATTGATGATTGAAGTTTTAATAATAATTTCTTGCTCGATAGTAGAATGAGGAAAACAAAAGCTTTACGAGCTCGTTCAACATCGATGTTTACAAAAGACTTGAATGCGTGAACATGGTAGGAAATTGCTGAATGTTTAAATTTCAATTTATTTTGTTGATATTCAAATAAAAACTTATCAGCATTACTAGGTTGAAGGAACACGCATCACGATAATTTTATAGCTCATGCGCTGTATAGAAAAAAAAAATCGTGTAAATGAGACATAAAATAAAATTTAATTTCCCGGCACACTCTGAGCCATTGAATTGATTTCAACATTTATTTCTTTCTCTCTGAACATTTTAATGGATTTTAAATTAAATTTTACCTTAAAAGTGAAAATGACCTAACACTAATGTCGTTATCATAACTTAAAAGGCACTATGCCGTTGCTATAGAAATAAAAATTGAACATAAGACACAAGATAGAAACTGAGAAGATAGAAATGCTCATACAAAAGAAAGAAGGAAGAGAGAAGAAATTTGCGGTGAAATTTCCAAATGTCATAAATGGCATAAAAAGCATTTCTAATTTCGGAATTGCGGCTTCAAACAGTATGAATGAATGTGACATAACGACATGTTCTCACCATTTGCATTGAAAGTAGACTCTGTGTGGAAAAAAAAGATGGCAAACAAGCGACGTGTATGGCTGTTGATTAGGAAAAATGAGAAAAAGTAACATTTGCGGTAATTATTTCAAACTAGCTAGATGCAACCTGATGACTATATTTCATAAAATGTAATGAATAGAAAGAAGCAACGCAAGTCAATTGTGCATAAATAAAAATAAGTTTCCTTCTTCTTTACGACTCGTCTTTTGTGCTTTCTCCTCCGTCAAGAAAAATACTAGCAATTCATTCATTCATCGATCCATAAATTACACGCGATTTCCCGGAAAAAAAATGTTCATTCAATGAGCAATTATTCAATAAAAGCACTTTGCACTTCTGTATTTCTCTTCTTTTCTATTCACCTTTTTTTTCTGCATCTAAAATTTATTGCTGACTTAAAATTTATGATATCTTGTTGAGGTTAAATTAGACTATTACGCAATACTGTTGATACTCATAAATGTATGTCGTATGTCAGTAGCCATAAAAACA